AGTCTTTATACAATAGAGTTTTAATTAGATTTGACGTTATTTTATAATATCTTACAATATTTTTAAGTATTTATTGGCCGCAAAAGAATTATATTATAGTTTTTTAAAATTAATTTTTCAAAGAATAGTTTTGTTGAACAAAATAATATTTTTCACACGAAATATAGTTGTTTTTGTTGTCAATAAAATACAAACTACTAAAACAGATATATCTATACATACATTACTTTTACAGCAATTAAATATCTAAACACAAATAATTTAATTTTTGTTATTGTGTATCATTTCTTTACGAATAATACATTTTTGCTATAAAAACATATTTAAATCTTTGGTATTATGTATTAATATTATAGTTTAAAAACTAATTGTCATTTTGTTAGCAAAATTGTCTATTGAATAAATGAATACAAAATAAGAAAACAATGTTTTTATATATAAAAGGAATTGATCCCAAAAAATAACACCACAAACAACAGAAAAACATGTTTTCTCACAACAAAACTGTATTTGTATTGCATTTGATTTAGTAATTGAGTCTTAATATCAATGATATTGATATTAACTTATAATTTAAGGTTTTTATGTTTGTTATAAATGCGTGCGAATAAAGAATTGAGAGTTTGCTGTCAGACCTAAAAACCTATCACTGGTTTCGTATAGTAATGTGTTTTTATGAGTTATAGCGAGCGATGAGAGAGTGTATCGATCGGTCCTTCAATTCAAATGAGAGATAATGCTATTCGTATGGAAACTATGTTTTCGAGATAAATGTGTGGATTATAATCAGTGATTAATCACATTTGCATTATATATATAATATATATTGTTATTCAATGAATTGTTTGTCGCCATAACTAAACAAATCCATAATTAATAGCAAAATGCCATTAATTTGTTTGTGATAAAGTTTATATATTATGTATCGGAATCTCAAACAAAAACCCAATCGATGTCTAGGAATCCAATTCATTATAATTTGTTTTTCGTTTCATTTTAAGGTTAATTTCAAAGTTAATTAAATGAATGAATGGTTGGCTTTTTTGTTGGAGAGCAGAGCTTTTTCTATTGATTGGCAAATAAAGCGTTGCATTCAAATAAAAGGGTAACTAATCCTTTATCTAACAGCTATTGTCTTTGGCTCCACAGTATAGCTCACCGTATCATCTCTTCAATCGCTGTTTCTCTCCATAGAGTGATTCACAATATATATCGTATATTACACTACATTTGATCCAATGGTGTGACGGATGAACCATAAAGATGGTCACTAATGGAAAATATCTATGCGTTTGTGTCTCAGTGTGTGTCTATCCATACAATCACTTCATGCCTCCCATACTCTCCAAGTCCTCCGACAATAAGATGTTTGAGTTGTAGGGCATGTATGGTATGACTCACTACTCAAATATTGAACACACAAAACAATAAACGGACTCTTTTTATGATTAGTAGCGGTCGTAGTGTTGGACACGACTCGCGAGTCAAGAGAGCGAGAGAGAAATCCGTAGGTTTTTATATATAGATTACCAGTGAATCACATCTTAAGGCTTTTATTTAGAGGCAATGATTGTTTGTATGCATTTTCCTATTAAAGGACAGTTATAGCGCAGCACTCGTATCAACATTTATAATAATTATAATAACACATAAACTTAATGGGGATTACAATTAATTATGACCAGAATTTGGGACCAGAATATCAATGTTGTTATAAATTATAGGCAAATGTAAAAATACAATACAAGAGATGTATTTATGGAAACTAATGAATGTTTTTAAGGGTAAGAATCGTATCATTAGAATTGTTTGTATTGTTTTGTGTTTTTCATGTAATCACTAGAAAGTACTGTTTCTGTACGTTATTTCACAATTTGAGCTCATTTTCTATATTTATATTATAATTATTTATAATATTAATAGTAATAATAATATTAATAATAATAGTAAATTTAAATCTATTATTTGGCATCAAATACATCTCACCCATCGTTGGGCTCTTGTTTTGTAAAAATCTCCGTTTAATTATTTTTCTTTGAACTCTTCTTTGTCTTCACTTTTTTGTTGTATTAATAATTTTTAACAATTGATTTGTGAAACTGAAAAACAAATTCATTTCTTTCTTTCTATTTTTTTGTATCAATTTTTATCATCATTTCCTCACTTTTGGCGTCAAGTCGTGGAGAGAGTAAGAGAGAGAGGGGGAGAGGAAAAGGTTGTTTGAAAATGTCATTTTGCGTGAAATGTTCACGTGTACGTTCACGTGAACTGTACTGTATATTGTATTTTATGGTGCCTTTTGATGTGAGTGTTGTCTAAATAATTGGCTATACGTTAACCAGAGACGGGAGGTATAACTTGACAGGCCTTGAGTTCGGTGAAAATCTCGGTGAAAAACGCGGGTTCGCTATTGATTCGCAACATTTTACTACTGAGCAAATTAATGATGAAAAGGGATCGGTTCCAGAACTTGTCTCGACTCTCATTCTCCACTAGGAATGGCTTCAATGGATACGAGATCTCGTTTCCCATATAGGCGTACGAGAGGTAGAGACAGGTGAGCACCACTGACTGCAACTCCTTCTCGCTCTCCACGTCCTCCTGAATGAGTTCTCGCAAAAGCATATATAGAAACACAACGTTCGCCGGATTTATGAACGCTATGTCCTGTTGGCCACCAAAAAGAGATAATTAAATACAATTAACAATTGATTTGTTGTTTTTTGCTTTATTGTGTTTTGTCATAACTCTTTGAGATCGCTGTCTGACACAAATATAGCACATATTGTTTGAAATAAATCTATTTTCACTTATCTGTCGTTAAAATAATACTATAATAAAATGCTGTATTTATTTACAAGAATAAATTACTAGTACTATAACTTAATACTATAACTTATATTACAGTATAAATGCTATATATTGACTGATAAACGATAGCAATTGGAAACAGATATAATTGCGATAATGTTTTTGTTTTTGTTTCTCTAATTAATTGTCGGACAATCTTTGTCTCATCTCTATATCTTATGTGACAAAACAGATGCTAAAGTAATATAGAGATCGGTGTTTGTGTGTAATAAATGGTAACAATTGATCATTACCTGCCAGCCCTGTAACAGTAGTGATCTGTCAACAGCCCTCAGCCATATAACCGCATCTCCGGACTGAAAGTTCTTCAATTTATGGCATTTGTTTGTCAGGAAATCACCCAAACATCTCAATAACTCCGAAGTCGAGGCCTTTAAATGAAATTTTAAATAAATATTTTGTCAGTTTATAGTTTCAACAAATTCTTGTCATTCAATTCTGGTTCACGTTATTTAGAAATAAATTCATTCAATCATTAATTGACTCTAATATCAGAGAAATGTGCATTTGATTAATGATATCAGAGAATTGCTATTAATTATAGCAATACTTTATATGTCTTCAGAGAATATGCTTTTAGAAGCATTTCTTCTAAATTATGTTTTTAGGTTTCAATATATATGTCACAACTTTATAAAAAGTTTCTTATTATAAATCTATTTATAGTCTACAATATTATACAAATGAAACATACATGGTATTATTCGTTGGGATACTTAACAATTCATATCTAATTGTAAATTATATTATGAATCGCTTAATTAAGTTTTTGAACAAAAGTAAATGTATTTCATTAAATACCGGAGTTTACTGTATTTTAATGATATTTAATATTTCATATGAATTTAAGTCTCATATATTAATTTAATTTTAAAATTGACGGTCAAATTCTGTGCCCAATTCCCTAGTTATACATTTAATGTATGTTTTGTATGATTTATGCGATCACTTTGTATGACTTCAATAAACAAATGGAAAAATATTGTGAAGAAATGAAATTAAAAGTCTGAAAAATATTTATTATCCGATAAAATATCAAAATATTGTGCTATAAAAACGTTTTATTCGTAAAAAATATATAAACACATATTTCACATAAAATTGTATATTGTTTTATAGTTATATAGTTCATAACATGATAATTTAATTCTGGCCGCCTTTTACTATGCCTTTAATCTATAAACTGGACATAAGAATCGTATGATTAACATTGAAATGTATGTACATGTACTGTATATTCTATATATAAGTTACTGTGCTGTAGATTATATAATATTTATTAGTGTTTTGATTGAATTTTCTGAATATTCTGTCTCTATATTGTATCCAATATTATATATTATCCAATATTAATGAAATAATAATTTAAATGAAAATAACATTCTTTAATAACAAAGGATTTGAAAAATTAATTGAATTGAATTTGAAGTAAAGCCTAACAAAAGGCTGTGTTTTCTGTGATGTATTTTCTAATAAACTCAGTGAGTTGTTATGTAAAGCATTACATGTATCGCACAATTGATAGTCTTATTTTTTATACGATTGTGTAATTCTTATTAAATAGTATGTGTTATTCAACTTCGATATACGGGTATATTGTCTATTATATCCTGTTTTTCTCGTTATAATCAATAGGTTTAGTCCTCTGCGAGGGATTAACTAATGTCTTGTGTAATCGCATCTGTTTTCTCTCTACCGATACTTCAATTGTGAAGCTTTTGGCGAAATTGAATTTAGAGTAAAACTGCGGTTAAAATCTAATGTAATATTTGATGAGAAAACCATTGGCTTTAAATCTAATAAATAAGTTAATGTACTCTTTATTTTTGCTGTAAATTACAACAACTGAACGACAACTACAAGATTGAAGGCATACAAAGACTCGGCAATTGAATGCCAGCTCTGATGAATGCCAGCCCTCCCACACATACAGTACACGTACTTATCATTGAAATGTATTCAATACTGTATATGAAATGTATGTTTCGTGTATTTGTAATACAGTATAATTCCGGCCATTCATATCATATTAAATTCATTTTATATTATATTAAACAAAGAATTGTTTAATCAATAGTTAATTCAATTTTAAAATAAAAATAGAAAAAAATTGTCCCAACATTTTATTTTACATAACATTTTCGCTAAATCTTTGCTCAAAAGAAATAAATTGAATGTATTTGAGAGAAATGAGAATCTTTTCACAAAAAGGGGAGACTTTAACGAATAATTTTTCTTTATTTTCTCTCTTTTTTATCAAATTAATTGGTTTCGTATATTTCATAATAGTATTCGTCAAGAGGTTTATGTATTCATTGTCTAAAGTATTGCTTTTGACTGATATTTGAGATGAAATGTTGAATGAATGAACAGAATCTAAATAATGCATAAAAGCTTTTATTCTAATCTATAGTAGTATAGAGTAGAGAGAGAGAGAAAGAAAGAGAGAGAGAGAGAGAGAGAGAGAGATCGCAAGATTGTTATGTA